ACCTCGCACGGCACAAGAGTATTTAAATAATAAACAACTATGCCGAGGTTAAAGCAAGAGAGAAGTTGGAAAACTATGATTTCGGTTAACCTAGACTAGAATTGTCAGTTTTACTTCAGCTTTGGCACGCAGCCACGCAGGCACGTTGATGAGTAACGCAGCCTGCATTTTTATTTTCCTCTGAAAAATCACTTTTTCACCATAGTTCTCAATTTTTTACGTTCATATCTCAGACAGACATATTTCTCCCCGAAAATCACGTCGTGCCCGGTCGCGCAGTCGCGCGCTATGAAGGGAAAGGTTCGAATTCCTCAGGAAGGATACTGCAGCTGCCGCGGAAATTCTTTCATTTGTGGGAATTCAGAGAGAAGTACCTCCACCCCTGAGGGAACCCTCCAAAAACATGGAGGGGCGCTGAAGGAATTGAAAGACAACCGTCTCCTTGTACAAGTCAGATATTTGAAAAATATTCTCTTACATGTCGACATCTATATTTCTGTGTATTATGTAAATAAAACTGCTCTCTCTGAGTTTCATCCAGTCTTGTTTTGAAAGGCAGTGCTTTTCGACGCTCTTGAGTTCCATCCCTTGAGAAGCGAGCATGTAAGCCTTCGCCAAGACTCAAAAACGAATCTCGGCGAGGAACTGAAAAGAAAAAAGACACTGATCATCCTGAGGCCAGAGTTGTTATTATGCAACAAGTTCCAGGAGGTGCTGATCCCCCCCTTTCCTTCTACAAAGTTGGAGTGCACTGAGGACACTTCAGTCCTCTTTTCGCTACAATGATTCATTGATCCAAAACTTTTTAGAAGGAGAACCTCTATAAACACTTCGTCCACCCCTGAATACCCGGCACTACAAATTCGGCACGGGGTGCATACGCTTATAGCTTGCACTTCTTCCGCTGCTCTGAATCTTAACAGTAAGCATCTACTGACTGCACAATCCTTGCTTTATTGGATCTACCAACTTTTCTACATTGGTGTGACCTACTTGGTCGAACAAGAAAGCACCAGTAGTCGAAGTTTATGGATTTTCAAAGTCTCAAGAAATGATTTGGGATATCCCGAAAACTGTTGGCAAAATAATAATGATTGTCCCGGTGCTATAATATAATCAGATTCTAATTAGTTCAGCTTCAGGTTTATCTCAATTTCTGTGAAAACTCTTACTGGCCCACTGTGAGCCGTGACCATTACCCATATGTTGAAATTTTGATAAGGTAAGTACCTACTTATTGAGCTTGGATGAAAACTATTGAAAGTTCAGCGATCAACGCGGATTTTCATCTAAAGAAAACAGTTATTGTTTATTCACACAACACAAATGTCACTGAGAATATAAAATATGTAAGCTCCATTTTGAGAAATCAATCAATTTATATACACAGAGAAAGGCAAGATAGTTATCGTCGAGGAATTCAAGGAATTTCTAACAATAAACCGTTGGTGTAGTAGTGAGAACAATGGCGATACTCGTGATTGAAGCCGTAGTCGGGACAAGTATGCCGAATGATACCTGAGTTTGGAGGTGTGAAGCAGGTGAGAGAGGTCTTCGGTTAAAGCTGGACTCCTTGCACTGCTGCTACATATTTGAGCCGTTCCAATTCCATTAAAACCCTTTGTAGTTCAGCTTTCAGACGGATATTATCCTAAAAANCGAGGAATTCAAGGAATTTCTAACAATAAACCGTTGGTGTTAAAGTGAGAACAATGGCGATACTCGTGATTGAAGCCGTAGACGGGACAAGTACGCCGAATGATACCTGAGTTTGGAGGTGTGAAGCAGATGGGGAGAGCACTTCAAAGTTGAACTCCTTGTACTGCTGCTACATATTTAAGCCGTTCCAATTCCATTAAAACCCTTTGTAGTTCAGCTTTCAGACGGATATTATCCTAAAAAATCAATGGAAATCTTAACTTATCAGTTTTATCAAGTCCGCCCTTTTTCCGAACATCCGAGATTTGCTTTGCTTTGGAATTATCATACTGTCTTACCAGGTTCTTGAGGTAATAGGTCTAAAAGTTCAGAGTGTTCCATCATTCTTCGGAATGCGTTACACATCCGTTTCAGAACTTGGAAGCGACTGAATACATATGCTACCTGACCTGCCAATACTCTCGTTGGGCAATAATGCTTTCTTACCTGCTGTACAAGTTCCAGTTTTCTGAAATTCACATCTTCCTTTTGGCGTCTCGCTTCCCTCGATCGCCTTGCAGACTCGTTGTTTCGCTTTCGCCTTTCGAAATACGCCTAAAAAATCAGTCATTGTTTTTCGGGTAAGCTTTGGCCCATTCCGTCCTCGCCCGAGTTCTGCTTCATGAACGTATCTAACGACAAAACCTTCACTGCCGAACAGCTCAGTGCGGTATGCGCATTTTTCCCAGAGTCTGATTATGTGGTGTTATACTGAGCGCTCAGAAGCTGATAGTTTTTTCACTCAGCTAAGCAAGACTTTGTCCGAAAAGAAACTTTACAGAAGACTTCTCCCGATTTTACCGTTCCATTGGGGAAAAGGAGCGCTAGAGCAGAAAGAAAAAAGAAAGAGTAGAACTTGATACTCTCGAAAGGAGCATTTGTTGCTTTGAAATCTTGGGGGTACTGGAATGGGGAACCCGAAAGAGCGGACTAATTTCGATCATCTATACATGTAGTTCCGCCAGGCTTGGAGGTAGCCGAAGTGAGAGAAGGCCGCATGGTGCAGAATTGAGATACTACTGTCAGTACGACCGACATAGTAGAGTCAACTCAACGTTTCGGTAAAGCAAACAGTACGCTACCTCGTGCACAACCTCCCTGTTTATAGCAGTCGTGAGGGGTGGTGTAGAACTGACAGCCTTGTGGCATGCTCTACCATTAGTTGCTTATACCGTATGCTTCACAATATCGTAATAATTGATTACCTCGTCTTTGAGCTCCGGTGGTACCGGATTCGGTTTCTTCTTGGTGGTAGTCGGCGATGGAGATTCTTTCATCGTCTGTGTAATGGAGGAGAGCTGTTGAGCAAAATTGGCAAACGGATGGGGGAAGGTAGCCGGCGTCTAAAATACTTATACTCTTGGAGTTGGTTAGTGATTCAGTACGGTTTATTCCTCTAGGTGCTTCCCATATTAGCCTGTCAGGAAGTAATCAGCTGACTCCAAATTTTCACTGAATACCTTTCTGAAAAAACATAAGAAATGAGCCATGTGGCCTTCTCCGGCTACTCGATCAACCACATCAAGTTTTGAATAAGAAACACCAATCAAAAGGTTTTTTTGCCAGTCCCGTAAATTCTATTCTCTGTGACTTGCACTTCCAGAGGCATTTTGATAATTCTCGAAGTTTTGATCCTTTGCTCAAACTTCATCTCAAATTTCAGTTATACTCTTGTTAAAGGGCAATGCATAAAGTTCATGGATCGACCATCTAGTCTTTCTCGTCCTTTCTGCACAGGAGAAAATGGAAAATGATTGAATGCTCTTTCCATAAATTGAAACAAAACTTTGGTAGTGCCGACTGTAATTAAACATCACGGCGTACACTAAAAAGGAACCGTACTACCGTACACTTCCAGTGTATGAGAAATGAGTAAATTTTAAAGAAGCTATGCGTAATTGACATGTATTCTGCATGCTTTCAATACTCTGTTCATGCATGAATTGAATTTTAAAGTTTGAACGAAGTTGATGGTGATTACTCTAGGCCGGTACTGGTGGCCGCATCATTTTCTGATACGGCAACTACCATGAACTATCCTCATTGACAGCTCATGGTGTGTATTTATCGCCTAGCATATCTATCGAAAGATCTCGAAGTAATCTAGTAGCAAAGTGGCAATAAATTAGTAACGAAGATAAGGTTATTGTAACTTGGTCCTACAAGCTTCTACAAAAGGTGGTAATTGGAACTAGAATCACTGAAGAGAGATTTTAAGACTTCCTTTCTGTACACTGAAGGAAGGAGCGTCTAAGTTGGTAACCCCAAAACACTGCCCTCACAACATTTTAGCAGTAGAAAGGCGATCGAGTCACCTCCCCAAAGAACCATTTTAATAGATTTCTATCAGATTTCGATAAGCAGGAAATTATGCGCATGGATCCAGATAAAATTCATACCTCTATTCAAGTTAATATTCTATCCCGAAGCATATGAAGTAACAGGGGAAACTTTACAGAAGCTGAGAAAGACCACGGCGGGGAGCCAACTCACGACTATGGGAGCCTTGTACTAGCTCTAATCTCCTCTCATGGAATGTACAAAGGCCATAATTTCTGGAATCACTTTGATGTCGAAGTCACTCAATATTTTTCTGACTGTTGTCTACAAAGGAACCAGGAAAAGATTGTTGAGCCTCAATTTTCGCTGTAAAGTTGAATGGATTCGATTTTCTCTTGAGTACATCATGGAAATGAGGCTGAGCTCTTGTGCAAAGGAACGATTCTAGAGTCAGAAAGATCTTTGCGGCAAAAATAGTTTGAAAACAATACCAATTTGACAAGTACACATTATTAGTGCCATGCCTAAGATGTGCATCAACAATCTCGTAAAGCTCCATCTACGGAGCAAGTTCATGCCCGATACGTATGCTATTCGTAAAAAAGGGAAATGAAAGTAAAAAAGGGAAATGAAAGAAGTTCAGCTTTCCATGTGGGTGGCACTTACTTGAATGTCTTTCATTTGATATCCTTGTTGGTACTGATCCATTTGCCACATTTGACTCATCGCTTTGAAAGCGTTCTGCTGAGTTGTCGCATCGTAAAATCCTCCCATTTGGTGGATATCCGACGACATACTTCGTTAAAAAGTTCACCTTAATCGGATCATAGTACGGAAGAAAAGTCAGATAAACTAGCAGAAAAGCAGCAAAATAAAAATGATAAGGTTGTTCATGATGGATATTCGAAACGTTTCCATGGGTAAAAAGATGTGGGCAGATTGATTGCTCATAGGATGCTATGACTGATGACTACCGTAACTGATTGAACTGCCTTTAGTGGTTTGAGCAGATGGTGAGAGTGACGAGACAGTGGGTGGGAGACGGTGACCCGAGCGGATGCCGGCTCTCTTTGGTGATGGGGTTGCGTCACCCGGCGGGTATTGGCCACCACAAAACAACTAGAAGACATAAAGAGATAAGCGAGTGAGGACACTGTATTACGCCACGTAATTTCATCTCACGACTCCACTCACACAGAAAGAAATGACGAGCCAGGATCACATTGTGCCTTGTTTGCCCAAAACTCGACTTCTACCCTAACGATTGGGGTGGTCCAGCGGAGGTACGTTCACACGTCGGAACTCGCTTTAATCGGAACTTCCATCACTTCGAGTATGGTTCTCTTTTACGAATTAAAAGACTTAGAACTCTTTTCTAACAGAAAAAATTACAAGCCTGTTGGAGCACAGAACTAACTAGGGGGTCTGAGAACACCTTGAAACTCACTTTTCAGAGAAAATCGGAAGCTTGTTCTGTTCCCTTAATGTCCATTTGTTAATGGCTGACAGATCAGAAAGGCCAAAATTTGCTTCTCAAACTGGTTCTTTGAAAGCATTTTGGTTCTTTTAAAGAAGGCATAGCTTCGGTTGGAGATGTGACGTGGATACGGCGCTATATTCTGCTATATACAAATATTTATAAGTTGCATCCAGAATGGCGACGTTGTCAGGCGGGCTCCCCACAACTTCACTGCTCTAGATCAAAATGGCAAAATTACAGGGGAAGAGGTGCAAAAAATCTTTTCTACTCCTGCCACTGTGGTTCAGAATGGAAAATTTAGGTTTTTTGTTCGTCTTTCTAATTATATGATTTATTCAGATATATCTGTAATCCTGAACCAACGGTACAATTTTCTTGATCGAGCAAGCTTTCCAACCACCGGATTTGACTAATCGGTGTCGGACGCATCCAATTGCTGGGGATAAAGCTCTTGATGGTACATCAGCCAACCCCATGGATCATTGTTTGGGCACATACGCATCTCAAACGCCACTACGATTCTGAGTGGAAGTGAAAGCATGTGGACATCCCAAAACAGGACTCATCGCTTTCAGAAATTGCATGCTTTTTCATTTATGCCGGTTCTGCAGTAGCCAGGATTATTCATCAGGTGACCTCGTGGTTGATTAAACCGAATGCACCCTTGCTCCAAAGGCAGCCACTTGATTGGATAGGGAATGGACTTGTTTCTGGTGAACTACCGCCTTACGGGTTCACGCGAATGCAGCCAGTAAGTCTTCCATGAAAAGCGCCTGCCTCCAGCAAAGCTAAGCACTGCTCAGTGACTGTGTATAACAGCACCATGAGCACAAACGAATGGCGAATCTCTAAATATGTAAGGTCTTGCCTTTGTTCAGGAATCCAAAATTAGGGTTTCTCACCTTAAGATACATCAGCTTGTCGCTCCTTTCTACCAATCCTTTCAGTTCAATGAGCCTCATCAAAGGCACAATTCACGGAAAAATGGTTTTCGAGTTAAATCTTCAGGGACGGCCACAGATCTCCCTAGAATAATCTTTGGACGCCTCGTGCACCATATGTGTCGCTGTGAGATCGGAAAGCAGCCCTCATAGAGAGGATACTGGCTCGAAGCTGTGCCAGCTGTGTGCCACAACCATCGGTGGTCACCTTTAATTAACTCGATTTGGATACCCCAAAATTACCGGAAACTTTCAGTAGATATATCTGATTCGAAATCTGGAGCCAAATGCCCAGTTAAGGGCTAGCAATAAAAAATCGTTAGATTTAGAAGACTTCTGACCAGTAAGTTCCAAACAATCTTCAGAGTTAATGAATTCTTTTGGGGCTTCGCTTCAACGAAAACCAATGATCTCCTAGATGTATGGACTTTCTTACGTAGCGCATTCATTAGGAGTTGATTAGGCATTGGCGAAACAATGAGATGAAATTAATCGAATAAAAATATGTAACAGGTAAAAGTTATACAGCCCAATTGGTTGGATGCTTTCTTTGAACACTTTCTGACTTGGAAAAATTGTGAGATTTTCTTAGCGAGAAACAGTCCTTAGCAATGCTTCTGGTGGATGTGCGGGCCATTCACACCTTGTTCTGCCGGCACCAGAAGCGCTTTCATTTCCCGCATTTACAACGTGCCCCATAATGAAGTGAATATTTACAAGCGAAAGGTCGCCGGTGCGATTAAAGGTGTGATTGCTTTACCTCGACTCTTTTCCTACCAATCTGTTGCTTGTACAAACTCTGGATAATGAGAACAGAAGCTCACTCGGTCGGCTAACGCTTCGTCAGAAGCTGAAAAGTTGAATGTGCTCATACCAATAGAGCAATTAAAGCTCGTTTTTGATTGTTATAACCACCACAGTCTATGTAAAGGGAAAGGAAATTGTCTTCTTGCTCTCGGAAAGGACGGGGACTGGCAAAAGGGTCCCTTTACTGGGCGATTCAACCGCTGACTCCGCTTGTATCCGTTTTTCTATGGAAGACGAGACATCGGTATAATGTAAACCGGTGTTCATTTACACCTGCTGGTGGGTGCTATTTGCCAGCGGTCGAGCCCTCGCAGATGTGGTCTCATCGTCGGCAGGCTCAGATGCCCGTTGCGCAACGGGGCACTTCTGGCTCTTGCACCATATCATGCTTACAAAGTTCCCAAGTGTTTGAGCACATATCTGCTAATGAGCGCTACGAGTTAGCGAAAAGAAGGAGCGATAGCATCGGAAAGGTTCAATTCGGTCAGCAGCGGTGTTCATTTTGTTTGCCAAAACAAGAAGAGATCGATAATGACATACATCTTCGATGAAAAAACACTTTGGAAAAGGCCCCCGCAACTGCACATTTGTCCAGTGAAGGATAAAAGGGCTTCATTTATGACAAAGACTTTATTTCTACAATGCTTTCAAATCTACTGAAGATACACCGATAACGACTTTGAAATTCTAGCTCTAAGGAAGACGAATGTCATCCCTTGCTATAAAGCCCATAATACCAGACGAACCGTCGAAAAAGATCTCGAGAAGGATAAGGGATAAAGTCTTTGGGCGTTGATCAATCTCGTCTAAGGGATGCATCCCCGCATTCGACTTCCATTCAGAAGCGTATTGGCGTTTTGAATGCGTATGTGGCTTACACAACGACTTGCGGTGGCCAGCTGATGTACAAATAGGGCTTTATCCTCCCAGATGAGTCTGGTACCGGTTAACCAACCCCGGAGGGACGGAAGGCTTGGTTGGCCCAGGCGGTTATCGAACCGGGATTCGAACCGGCCACCGTGCGTGTGTGATAGTGCACCACATCCTCTACACTTGATAATAAAACTTATCCTTATTCATAAAATGCCAACCTTTTAGCGGATACTGCAGGGCAGCAAGCCCTGAGGAGCTTTCTCGGCAATCACAAGTGTTCTGTAGACAGTCCTGAAATAATCAGCCCCCTCTTCTTCTGCTATTTAATTTCTGGTTTTCCGGAATTGATTAAATAAGCATTTTTTGTTCAAAGGGCAAGTTTTCTTGAACAAATTTTTCTCGAAAACCCTCTTGAGAGCCCGAATTGTCTCACAACCTGAAAACATTCTCACGCGCTGTCACCTACATAACACCTACCATCCTGCAAATAATCTCCAAAAAAGGCTGCAGCAATGTCAACTTCCCACCAAAGTGAATGTTTTATCGTGAGATATTTTCCCAGATGTTGATTGGGCCCTTATTCCCATTGTAGATTTTGAAAACTTGTTCAGTTGCTAACTCAATACAGTCGGAATCGTTCTCAAACACCTCGGGAACTCGCTCGATTCTGCTTATCAGGATGTCAGCAGGGCAAGAGTAACCTAAGAGCTATGCTAAAAACGGTAAGCGATTCCTAAGAACTCGATCTTCATCAGAAGAAACTGTTTTGGCTTGGCATGCCCAGACTTCAAGAAGAGCAAAAGTTTGGGTAGCGTCTTCTATCTTCGTTCTATCAGAGTCAGGCGTTTGAAGGTGCACTTGGTTTGTGCTTACTGGACCAAACCATGTGAGATGTAACTCAATGCTTCGAACCTCCCAGACAAACCACGGGTCAATCAATTAGCCATAGATAATGAGGCTCACTCCGTCTAAACGGGTATCGAGATGGAATTAGTCGCCCTGAAAGTTCATGTGTGTGGTAGCGCCCTGCACTTCTAACTTCTAAGCAATCTACATACTATGGGAGCAAGATTTTCAGGTAAGGGGACATCAACTCGTCCATTGGTTCTCTCACTCGAGTAGATTAAGCAGTTACGTTGACCGCATGATTTTCAAAACAACATAGTCTTTTGCTCGGGGCTATGTTTGTTGAGTAGGAGGAGGAGTAGGCACCCTGTGAAAACCCGACTTGTTGTTGAGTGATGCGAATCGGAATTTTCTAAAATCGTACTATATCTACAGCTTCATCCTACGGCTTTATATTGCTCACTCTTGCAACAATGAAAAGACAAGATATAGCTCGCTGTATGCGAAAAAAATAAGATGACGCCAGTTTTTCACATCGAAGTGCCCTAGAAAATCTCAGAACTGGTGCCGACTCAATTAAGAAGGGGCTGCGATCGTATTTAAAAATACGCGGCGTTTAATTGCTCTGCGGATGAGCTGCCATTCATACCTGCTCACCACTTAGATGCAATTTCGAATAAGACAAATTACGACGGAGTAGACAAGATGTATGACATCGATGAAACGCCTTCCTACCAACAGTCATCCTCATTTTCAGGTTCTTTGACACCCAAAGCGCTTGCAGACAGAGAACTGGTTAATTGAGACTAGCCCAGGTCCTGATTAAGTCATACCATTCCCATGCTGTTGGAGTTATTCGTTACTTTTTTTAGCATTGTCCCGAGCCCATTGGTGCTTTGATATCCGTGTTGGGAATACTTGAATGAAGAATGGATTCCCTTGATGACTTTGGCATATACAGAAGAACCTCTTTATGACTATGGCATATATAAAAGATGAATTTGTGGTCTGTCCTCATTTTTAGACCTTTGTTATGAGCCAATGAATATTTCAATAACACGATTATGTGTTGCAAATGTGCAGGCCAAGCGTTCATCAAGATGGCATGAGCTGTAAACGAAAAGAGCAAATCTTGGAAAACCTGACTTTTGATTCTGTTACCTTCTGCAAGTTTGTCTGAAAAGCTACTTCAAAGGCAGTAAGATTGATGACACTGGGAGGAAAGAAGCACTATGCTACACTAGCACTCAGCACTACTAGTGACGCACTATTATACCCACGAAGTTGAAGTTCTGAGGTCTTTTTTCCAATTCTCATAATGGACTTCAGCCCTCCACTGCCTTCGACTGCTCGGAGGTGAGCTTGCATCCCTCCCTCACCCTTGAAAGTCTACTGGAGAACACCCCCTCTTGGATCATATGTTAGTCTATTCTTAAAACAGACGGAGGGTCCAACTGCTCAATGAGCAGAGCTGGGCAGCCCCAACGTAGACCACATTCTGTTTTGCTCGCTTCATGAAATCGAAGTGCACTTAACTTCAGACTGAGGTGCTGTCCTCTAAAGTTGCAATTCATCTATTTATCGTAATTTATAAACTTCGGATACTTTCGCCTAAATCCTTTTCTCTTTACCATACAGTTTTTGAAACCAAAAGTGGATCCCCCTGTCAGACGAGAGGATGAGGTAATTGACGAATTAGTGGGTTTATATGAACTGTGTTTACACCTAGAAAGTCATATCAACGTCCAGTAATTATAGATCCATGACCAAATAGGGGCATCGCCATTTAGGGCCGACATTGTGTAGTTGCCAGTAACTCCTACTAGTTTTATTAAGAAACAATTACATTTAAATAACGCATTTAATTATGCATTCCAACAAAACAATAGCAATAGCCGGTGACGTTGGTGAAATACTCGGGCATGCATTTCGAGTGGAGAGGCTTCAGTGATCTATTATAGGAACAGAACTCGAAATTAAATAGTGAAGAATCTCTTTGTGACAGCCTTTCAGCAGCGGAACTAATCCTATAAAGTCCTTCCAACAGACAATCGAAGTCGAACAGATAGAAAACCGGGAAAATCAGCTTCTCAGAGGATACAGATAAAGCAAGACAGTAATCGATCCTACAAAGGAGTTTTTGGTGTGGACCTCGGGAGATGTTTGGTATTTACGTATTACAGCAGTAAGTCAGAAGATATCTGAATGAACATCGATTTTCACAGCATTCAGTAGCAATTCCTGATCGTTTCATCGACGTATGCAGAGGCTCCAGTTGGGGTTCATGCCACGAGAAAGATCCTGAAATGGAACTGTAGAGGTTCACTGCTTATTTACATCAATTCAAGGGTTGTTGACTGCAACCTATCGTCGAACGTAAGCAAGCTCCATTGACCGTAAAAGTATAGTCAAACATGAGCAAATTGAAAAATATACCGCACCTCACCCTTCAAAGCGAAAAAGAAATCTCAAAACATTCAAGTCCCTTTTTCGAAATGGGACAGAACGAAAAAATTCATGGGATTCCAAGATAGTGAAGTTCCTCCTTTGAAATGAATGAGATGAAAAAAAAAATTGAAGTCTCCAGAAAGCTTCTCTGGAAAAGGTCAGCTGCATAGCAGAACGAGAGCATGGAGCTAAGTCAGTCACGCTTCGCCACTTCAATGAGCTTCACCATTACTCCCTTGCCCACTGAAAATCACTGATTTTATCGGAGGTAACAGGAAGTTCAGGTTTTTAGCTGTCGGCAGTTGAGCAACCCTCAGTGTTATCGTCCACAAGTGACGACTGGGAGGCAGTAGCACCCCTCATTGTCAGTAGACGGTTCAAAAA